GTCGAGTTCTTTTCATTAAAATTTTGACCCCCCTCCTTTAAAAGACTTGGAAGACTTAAAACATCGTTAGTAACGTGTGCGATTGCATTTTACTATAATCGCCGATATTTTTCGTCAGCATGGCTTGTTATTTTGGTCGTAGACACCTTAACGTTGGTGTTTATTCTCGCTAAATCACATATTTCCTTCAACATAAGTATGTCTTATGTTCATCGGCGGGAATATGCTCAAGTATATCATTTAATTAGTAACGCTAATTTATTGGTTGACAGGCGGCAATATAAAACACTAAGAATAAAACCCAAAACAATAGAAGTTTCGTCATAGGAGGCAGGTGACGATTAAAAACGCCTCTTTATCCATTGTGAATCGCGAAAATTCGTGTGTCTGTAGCACACATTATGTTCAGTCGGCGTTGGAACCATAGCGCCAATGACATTGAATGAAATACAGCCAATTGTGCCTGCTGAGAAAGTGGCGTATTCGCGGCGAAGGAACTTCAGTAGCCTTCCGGAAGGGATTTCCAGGCGTTGAATATGTATTTTCGATTTACTAATATATTTCATGTGTATTTTCATTGCCCTAAATTAAATTGTAATTTATGTGAATTTAGATCAGATCTTTTCTAACGGCGATAGCGAGTTCGCAAGATCGAAAAAAAAGAATCAAAGCTAAATATAATCGGGCAGTTCATCTCATATTTTCATGTTCACAGATTACCTTGGTAATTTAGACTTTAGAGTAGTAATGTTTTTCTTTTGCCGTAAGAAGAAACAATTGCAAGTTACGTTGAACACATTTAAATTACTATAGAAAGATATTTTAGATTCTCATAATTGTCAGGGAAATGAGGAAAGTCGGCTGCAAAAGTGGGGTCTTTTAACGAGCGCGTAACCGCGACGACTGTCTCATAAGGGATTGGATTTTAACCCTGTGTCTAAATCTTAGCTGCGCTCCTAATCAGAGCAAATTTTTATATTTTGAGTTGACGTATCTTATTCAGTATGGTGTTTATATTCCCCAGAGTGTTCTGTGCAAAAAGCACATACATCTTGAAAGCTTTTTGTGATCGATAATTTTCATTTTCCCACTCCGAACTTTTTTCGCAACTCTCTATCACTTCAATATCCCCCGCATACGTTTTCCCCCTCCCACACCACTCTTTTCCCACCGAACCCCACTCTCTTATTTTTCACGCCGAACTGAAGCCCAATACAGAGGCGAAGACGGGGTATAAAAAGGAAAGAGAGAGAGAGAGAGACTTCGCATCTAAATTTAGAGCTATTTATACTTTACCTGACGAATTTTTAATATCAGATGTATTGGGGGTAAATCTTGTAACCTTGTTTGATAAAGGGGTAAATTATTCAAAAAAGGTTAAGAACCACTGGACTAATGTGTATTTTGATTGGGTTGATTTTGACATAATATAGTGTCTGAAATGAATCCCAACCGGTGAACATTACAAATGTCGGAGAGCGATGAAGCTGCAATAATAAATAAAGTAGTTTTTATGCAGTGAGAAATGGGAAAAAAGTTCTAAAATAGACGAAGGTTGGGACCACTAGCCAAAATATTATGTTATTAAAGAGGATTACAATTGTTCCAAAAGGTTTCTAAGTTTGCTCATGTATGGATACATCTCAAATGATTTATATTCAATAATGCAGATTCATAAATTTGGGGACAAAATGGAATGTTTTGACTAATTGACATTCTTTGCTTTCACATAGTGCATTTTTTCCTTTTTAACATTTTTAGATATTCTGCCAGTCAAATAATATTTTTGATCATAAAGTCAAATATTCAACCATTTTCCATCTTTTCATCAATAAATATAATAATTTCTTGCAGAAAATATTTATCTCCATCTGCTACCATCACTAAGTTGCCAATTGTCACTGAGGAGCCATTTGTCACGGACCTATCGTCGATCAATGGGTCGTCATCTGTCAGAGAGGTGGTATCATTTATCACAGAGTCATCAGCTGTCAGTTGAGTTGACAACTGTCACTTTACCTAACGGTAAGTCAGTTTTATAGCAAAAATTTTTGTTTTTTACAAGCAGAGTACCCGACTCAAAACTCTAAATTCTGGACCATTTAAAATCTACTTATATAGAATATATATATTTCATTCAGCTGTCGACATATTACACACTGACAGTGATGACTCCAGACGCACAGATGATACCTACTGTATCAGGAAAAAACCCAGACACCAACCAAGGTATAGTATATTATTATTTTTTATGGTATTGAGAATAAATTAAGCACTTGCATAGTATTAAAAAAAAAAAAAGTTCTCCAATTCCAAGACGACATTTAATCCTCACAAAGTATCTATGTGGTAAAATTCAAAGAATTAAATTTTCCTGTAGAGTGGTAAGTTTTCTTAAATCCTGCTGTTTTTATTAATCAATGCTGTGATCTGTCAACAAGGCATGCTTGTAAAGGTTTCAAAATTCAAATATATCCAACCCAGTTTGAGTTTTTGTACCTTAGCTGTCAAATTCAGGTACCGGTACTTGAAGTGTTGATAGTACTTCCAGCTATTTATTGACCTATTCTATCATAAGTGTAAGATATATATTTAGAACAGGTCACAATGCGCCAGTCATCATAGATAGGATGGCTAACACATAGCCATATCATGATGATTGGATATTGATCCAACTCCGAGCCATATGGACCTCTCCTCGAGCATCGACTTCCTTGTTTACTTCGTGACATTGGCCAATCAGCAAGATACAAAAAATGACGTAACAATGCTCCCTTTTCGCATCCGCTCAGACACTTTTCTCACTCAGACAGATTTTCAAGCGTGGTTGCGAACATTACCTCGTTTTCGCGTTTTTGAGCTCTATTCGTTAGTTTTCAGTTGTGTTTCAGAAACTTAAAAATATAAATCAGATAATTCAATGATCACTCTGTCTTCCTAGGAGTTTCAATTTAATTGCAATAATAAAAAATTAGTGTAGAAATAGCTGTGATAGAGTCGGCTAAAATTCTTTACCGGTACATTTAAAAAACAGATTGTTGTATGCGATGAATCATAATGATGGTTTAAAACACATAGCCCATTTCACAGGTGCCAACTCGCATAAGCACTCTTAGAATAGCCCTGAAAATTCTGCAATGATAAAGTATAGGAAGAATATTCCGGGGGTCAAAGGTCGGGGGAAAGGTCCATATTTGGAAATTTACAGTTAATGTCTATAGCAGCGGTTCCCAATGGGTGTGTCGCGAAAATGAACATAATTTTGTTGGACAGAACTAAAGTATGATTTAGTAGGCGCGGCGGTGTGGCTCAACGGGCTAAGCGTTAAGAATACGCTCGCCACCGCACCTCTAATTACTCTGCGTGGGTTTCGCAGGTTCGAACCCATGCAGGGATGGTTATGTGCGAGAGGATTGCTGGACTCCTCGCCGTCGTTGGTGGTTCACGTAACCGCTGGTCGTTTACGGCTTCCTCCACCACCAAGTCCATGCCTCCGAAAACAAACAATATAACTAATCCCATACCCGACTTGGAATGGTAACCGGACGAGAGGCCGTGGTTCGCCATATGGATAAGCCGTCTTATCGGCTTTCCTCTCTCCCGGGATAAATATGTAAATCCTATCCTATCCTATCCTAGTAATTCATTTTCAACTATTTTCCAACTTTTCATTAATGAATATAATATTTTCTTGCAGATATATTACATCTACACCCTAAAGACCAGAATGAATTTAAAATTATTTTTGTATGGTATTGATAATAAATAAAGCACTTGCATGATATGAAAAAGACAACACTGTCTTTCAATTCCAAGATGACAATTAATCCTCACAAAGTATCTATGTGGTAAAATTCAAAGAATAATATTTTCCTGTAGAGTGGTAAGTTTTTTTAAATCCTGCTGTTTTTATTAATCAATGCTGTGATCTGTCGACAAGGCATGCTTGTGAAGTTTCAAAATTCAAAAATACCTAATTCTATATGAGTTTTTTACCTTGGCTGTCAAATTCAGGTACTGAAAGTCTTTATTGACCTATTCTATCGTAGTGTAAGATTAAAAAAATATATAATTAAAACATGTCGCAATGCGCCAGTCATCCTCATAGGTAAGATGGCTTACACATAGCCATATGATGATAATAGGATATTGATCCAACTCTGAGCCCTTACAGTTAATGTCTATATCAACGGTAAAGATATTTTTGGTAATTGCTGTTCTGTAAATGTCGCTTGAGAGTTTCACTGCTAGTCCATGGGAATGTTCTGAATGATACTTTTGTGTATTTGAACAAATAAATAAATGGTAGAAGTGAACCGCATAATCGCAAATATAAAGACCAAAACTAAATATAATTGGGCATTTTTTTCATATTTTTATGTCAACAAAGGGTATTTTAGTCGGTATATGCTAAAAAAGTTGTCTCTTTTAGCGAATGCATAATCATGGTTATAGTTTCCGAATGGAATGGGAATTTCTGGTTTTGAAACCCCCGTTTTTGAAAATCCTGGGTGGGCAGATATAAGGTCAAAATTATGGAAAAATACATTTCTGTTACAAAATTTAAATTCACTATCGGCATGAAAAACACTTTTATCATAATAACTGTTATTCTTGGGTGAAGTTCTGGTGGTTCTCTTGTATACTGGTTGTATAGCTGCAGTAAGAGGTCGTTTCATTCTGCAATTACGTAGTTCATTTAGGAACCACTTGTACAAATAGTGGTGTTGAGGTTGATATGTGATGTAATCTTGAAAAATATTTTACAAGCAGGAATGCTTTATTTATTAATACCCAGACTCAATAAATGCTTTGCGAGCAATATGGATAATGCTATTACATGTTTTGCTACATACATTCTAGTAGTCATTCGTTTTGAAAGAATTTCCATG